CAGACCTGTATCAGGCAGCCAAAGATGAGGCACTGCATTGATTTATATGTGAAGCAGAGAAAAATCTGCAGGCTTCCACAGTCACTAGCTTATGCTACTGTTACTCTATTTTTATTATTAGTATTGCACTGCAAGAGCAACAGGCTGGACTTTTTTTCAGCTGCTGTCCAGAAGAATATTATTACATATCTAAAAACAGCTGTGTGAGCATGTCAGTAGAACTGCAGACTGGAAAAAAAGGAAGCGCAGAGCTACAGAACCTGAAGTCTGTGAGATGTTCTACAGTTTGTGATGGTTTTCTCTTTCTGATTGTAGGAGCTCCTCTCAGATTCAGACCTGAGTACCACCCAGTGACAAGAGACAAAACTACTAAATACATTTATTTGTTGTAATATTGGTGTAAATTTTCAGTAACTCCATAGTTAATTGATTTAAACAAAATAGTACATATACTAAGCTAGCATATTATGTACTGTAAGTGAAACTGGCAATACATAAAATGATATGTAGATTTGTTTTTGACAGCATAAACAAATAAATAAAACAAGAGGTAAAAAGTATAAGGTAAAAAATTCTTCATGTGTATGAGCCAAAAAGCTTTAATATGAAATTCTTTCACACTGTGTTTTGCTAATAGTGTGTTATTTACCATAAAGTAATTAAGAAGCATTCATGCCAAAGTAACCAGGGAGTATAATAGATATTTTAAATCTACTATTTTCTGCAGGAGGGAACAACATAATTTGGCAAAACTCCAGAGCCTCTGTGATGATGTAACAATGTTCAGTATGAAAGGTTGCTACCACACTGTTCATAATGCGATTTGTCCTTCTTCTCAACTGAGCCTACGCTGGGGCTCTAAAAAAGATTTTGCAGATTTTACTTTGAGTCCTGCTTGGTACCTGCAGTTTCAGTTCTCCTGATTTTTCCGACACTGGCCTCACTGGGTCAACAGATCATTTAGTACAGGAAGTCTATGATGAAAAAAAGGGAGGGCATTTCTGCAAACCTCTCAATCCAGGAATCCAGGCTCGGCTTGGTGCCGATGGTCTACCTCACTCATTTTCCCCCCCCAGGGTGTAGCTGTTAATAATAATGTGGACTCTGGGTCCTGTTGTTAAATGGAAAGAACAAATTACACTTCTTTGAAACCTTTAACGGATGTGCTTTTAAATGTAACATTTTATTTAAATTTTTCTATTTTCTATTTATATGTTACCAGGATATAGAGTGCTCTGTGAGTGTGTAATAGATGTAAAACTGTTTACATCATCCTCAGTCTAATATTAAAATCTCAGAAATAAACATTTCATTTCTAGATAATTCTAATATTTACAATAACTCTGGGCCTCATCAAGGTACCAGTAATGAGAGATACACAAGTGTGTAGACTTGCTGACTAGCTAACAAATGTTTTCTTACACAGTGCATGTGCTAACTTCTAGCTTAACTGTAGCTTAACACATTAACTGTAAGAGCTACAGAATGATTTTAATGTTGTATAAAACTATAGTATGTTAAGATTTTTGTGTTTTTAAATCTAGTGTCAATGTTATATTTGTCGTGATTTAAGAAGGTGTCAGTTGCATAAAACTATCAGCAGAAATCATTAAAAAGCTGGGTGTGTCGCAGTCACATCCAGCAGGTAAGTGAGTGGGCTCTTGCTCCAAAAATGCAAGATAGTAGCCCCCATAAGATCCGACATCACAGTTTATAATTTGAGTCAGTATGTTGATTCGGTCGCAAGGAAAATGCTGCCTCTAGAAATACAGAAAAGAGATTGCTGCACAAAAGAACTCACCAGATGGACTGGTTTTCTTCTGTTTAAACAGTACCTCTAAAGCATGTGCTACTAAATCTCAAGAATCTACAGCTAATTTTTGCAACCAATCACCATGCACACACCCATCTATAACTGAATGTGTGCACATAAGGATGAAAGCAGGCAGATTTAAGTTTTAAAAAGGTTGCAAATATATAATTCTAGTTATGTAGTTCGTTGTTATGATGTTATGATGTAGGTTTAACAATACTGATTCTGGTCCGGTGAGATCTTTTAAAAGTTCTCTCCTCTCTTTTTTTATTTGTATTTCTTTCTACATTGTAGATACAAACTGAAGATGTGAAATATATCAAGTAAGACATGGAATAATGTAGCAAAGAAAAAATTAATAAATAACTCTAATAATAACTAAATATGTCTTATATTTTAGATTCCTGAACGTAGTCACCCTTTGCTTTGTTGACAGCACTGCAAACCCTTGGCTTTCTCTCAATTAGCTTCATGATGTAGTCGCCTGAAATGGTTTTAATTTCACAGGTGTGTCTTGTTAGGGTGTTTGTGGAATTTCTTGCCTTCTTAAAGGGATTGGAACCATCGGTTGTGTTGTGCAAAAGTGCATAATCAGAAGAGATTTGTTTGGGCCAAGAAACACAAGGGATGACCATTAGACCAGTAGAAATTTGTTTTTTGGTCTGATTAGTCTAATTGAGATCTTTGGTTCCACCTGCTGTGTCTTTGTGTGACGCAGAAAAGGTGAACGGATGGTCTTAACATTCATGGTTCCCACCGTGAAGCAGGGAGCAGGAGGTGGGTTGGTGTGGGGATGCTTTGCTGGTGACACTGTTGGGGATTTATTCAAAATTGAAGGCACACTGAGCCGGCATGGCTACCACAGCTTCTGCAGCAACATGCCATCCCATCCAGTTTGCGTTTAGTTGGACCATCATTTATTTGTCAAGCGAAAAATGACTCCAAACACACCTCCAGGCTGTATAAAGGCTGTTTGACCAAGAAGGAGAGTGATGGAGTGCAGCACCAGATGGCCTGGCCTCCACAGTCACCTGACCTAAACCTAATCGAGATGGTTTGGGATTGGATGGGCCGCAGGGTGAAGGCAAAAGGGCCAACAAGTGCTCAGCATCTCTGGGAACTCCTTCAAGACTAGGCAATTGCATTAACAAGCAGTTGAGCAGGTGTACAAAGTGACTGCTGAATGCATATTGCTAATAAGCACATTCCTGTGCCTACATTTAGACAACATCCACTTACCATAAAACAAAAGTTCTACCATGCTGACTGCTAGAAATATGTTTTGTGTATCTGTGTATTTGTTACACCAGTGTGTAACAGTATCACAGTAATAATAGCAATGTAAGACATGGAACATGTCTTTTTTGCATGTGTAGGTGTATGTGTTTTAATTTGTTTTGCTCATGAAACCCTCGCTAAAGGATATTTTCCTGAAAATGATAACCTTCAAGTATTCCCTTGGTATTTCTGAAGGTATTCTGAGGTGCTATCATTCTGTTGCTCTGAATAAAGGGCAGTGGGTTGGGGGTATTATAAAGTGCAGATGAGTTGCTAAGGTAGGACTGTATGTGGGTGGTTGTCTCTCAGGTTGAGAGTTTTTCTGGAAGCTATGGAGGTCACAGTAGAAAGGTGCAGTAAATATGCTTTGTGCCAGCACAATGTTGGGAGTAAAATCCTTCTCTGCTTACTCGATGAGAATATGATTTTTTGCACTGAAGCTTGCTTAATCCATCCCACATACCTTAGCTAAAAACAGTCAAGCCCCTATTTATCATTTGGTTCAGTTCAGTTTAAATTTTATATCTCCAAACCAGAGCATAAGCAAATTTTAGACACCTTACATATGTAAAGTCAAAAGACCCTAAATATTGCCAATGCACCTGTTAAAGATCCAAACTTTCTAACAGGAACGGACTACGGAGACCTTGCTAACAACTTGTACTAACAGGTGGAGAAATAATAACAACCAAACAGGGACAGCTCACAAATTTCTGACTTACAAGACATCACAAGGGTAGAGATTGTTACATTTTAAAAACTACATGTAACTGTGTTTTAGTATATTGCCATGGAATTAAACATTTCTGAGGTCTGATTGGTTCACAGCTGCATTCTTTATACCCTGACTGTAGATATTAGTGCCACAGAATAATAAAACACCATTAATTGTAATTTGTAATTGTAATTTACTTTTTACAAACACGCCTCAGGACAAAAGCTGTTAAGTGACAAATGCAAGTGTTCAAAGGTTATATAATTTTCACTCAGAACAGTGGAAAAGGAGCCTATTAAATTACTTGTGCATTTTACAGTAAAAATCTCACATTATCTTACCTTGCAGAGACATTAGGCCCAACTGATGGTCCCAGGGACATGCTAACAAGTAGCTCCTTAGTTAGCAGTGATTGAAGCTACAAAATAAAATACACATAGCACCTTTAAAGCTTTCAGGCAGTTACAAAAACTGATCTGTCAGAGAGGTCCCTCTTAAAGACAATAGCATTTTGTATAATTCTGAAGGTACTGCGCTCAATTCATTCTCCCTGACAGTAATCCCAGCCCTAACCCTTTAAAGAAAAACATCAGATCAACAGAAATCACACAAATTTGGATTTGAAACTGATTTTCGCCAAGATATGACATGTTTGTATCCCAGCGATTTAAACTGATACAATGTAATGTGTAAATAAAAATACTCCTAATATTGCAAATGCAATATGTAATGTCTATATAAATTATGTTTTAGAGGGAAAAAGGAAGGAAGAGTACTGTAGAAACAGTAACCACCTTAATTCTTAGGCCACAAAAACCAAGTGAGTGAGAAGCACTTTGTAAAATGAGGTCATCCCCACACATCCTTTGATCCCTCCATTCTTCATCTTGGAGGCAAGTGGCATATAAGAGGATCTATCTTTGTGAACAGTTTTGAGCCTCCAAAATTACAAACAAACTAAAGGCAGGGGATCGATACAGTGTGTCTCACAGAATGATGAAGTGGCACTTCAGAGGGTGAAAATCAATGTCGCGTTCCCTTTCTCTCCTTCTCCTTCTCTCGCCATCCTTCTTTGTGGGTCCTAACCTAGCTTCACAGTCCTTATACCACTGTGTTAAAGTGTGTATGTTGCTTGGAGCTTGGTCTCACACTGTGATTTAATAGTCCTTTGTTGTTTTTTTTATTCCTTTTTAGCCTGGAAGACCCCTGCCACTATGATGTGTGAGCACACCCACCAATAATGGCCCATAGGATACACAGTGAAAGTAAGTGCTTCTGGTCTGATTTATGATTGGAATGTTCCTTCACCCTTTACTGTCCTTCTGAACCTCACCTCATTTGTTGAGGCAGTATCCATCAGGATTACATAGCAATCATTAAATCATAGCATGGCACTTTACATGAAACTGCCAGCATGAAAGCACATATTTAGTACAACACATGCACTGGACAAACAAGTTCATTTCTGTGCATTTTTATAGCTAATGAAGTGTTGGAAGTGAAGAAGCCATTTACAACTTTGGAAAAATAAAAGGAAGTTCATTATATATATTAAACAAAGAATTAACAAAGCTTCCCAAGGAGAAAATTGGATTTCAAGTACTCTGGCAGTGGCTAGAAATTAATTGTAGCACTGTGGCAACTTTTGAAGATCGCATTCACAGCAGAAGGAAGCATATTTTGCGTCAATACTGGGACATTGTCCCCAAAGAAGTATAGGATTAGGTTTTGTTATGTGTTACTTACTGCTTGAGTTATATAGTTTCCGTATCTGTTTTGCACTCACTGCTTTCGGTTAAGGAGGAGTTTTTCAATTACTGGAGCATGATTATCTTTGGGTTGGGATTTTCAGGTTATGGCATAGATTAATGTACATCATTCATGTTTGTCTTAGTAATATTGTCTCAATATCAGTTCCCACTTAAATGTGGTACTTTTTGTGATGGATTCTACCAGAAACATTGGAAAGTTGTTTGATGAGCATGTACTGTACAAATATGTACAAAAAGGAAAAAACTGTCTAAAGTAGCTGACAGTTTGTGGTGTAGGTAAACATATGGCAGTTTCAGGCTGCTGGTTGGCACAACTGTAAATTTGATGAATATCTTTATGGTCCTCACAAGGATTAGGGTTCATTGATTAGAACAAATATATCAAACTGAAGTAATACAGATAGTTCACTGGTGTGTAAACTGTTTGCCCGCTTCCTGATTTCCTGTTTTTTTGTATGTTTGTCACACTTAAATGCTTCAGCTCATAAAGCAAATTAAAATATTTAAATCACTTTTTCACACAGGGCCATGTAAGATTGGATTTTTGTTTCCCACTTAAATCATAAACAACTTCATTTAGAAACAGCATTTTTGTTTTTATTTGTATTATCTTTGTCTGATATTTAAATGTGTTTGATGTGCTGAAAGATTTAAGTGGGACAAACACACAAAAAAATAGAAAAAAAGGAAGGGGGCAAACACAACTGTAGATTTCAGTTGTGGCTTGATGATACATCCCTATAGTTTCAAGAGGTTTTATCTAACGAAACCAGCAGGCCAGGGTATGCAAAAAGAAAACATTGCCAGCATTGTGTACTGCAATTCTTGTAGTGATGAGTTATTATTTGCACTGATAACCGTGTCACTTGATCATCATCAACATTGTCTCAAAATTTCTTTAATACCTTGAATGTAGTCACGTTCCCTATTTCTTGTACAGTCTTTGCATTACTTGTCTCGATGTGTGAATGTATAGGACGTAATCTGCATGCACATAATCTGTATGAGTGAATGTATTCTGTGTTTGAGAGCAGTCTGCAATTCTGTTCAGGGCATTACTTGCTTTTGTGATGTTGGTGAGCTCTGAGACAGCCCCTGTTGGTGCTGGAAGGCAGCGCTGTCAGCTGTGGAAAAGTCTTCCTGTCAGCCCTGCCTCAAGTTCTAGAGCTGAAAGATGAAGCCTGAGACAGGTATCCACGTAGTGAAGTGGTTGGGGGAAATAGATATGCATTTATCTTACTCTCCATCTATAGTTATCTATATATCGTATGTAGCTACAGAGTCTATTTGTCTTCTTTTGTTTGTCTTTGTCTGTCTCCAGGGGTGCAGCATGGGGTGAAAGGCTGCTGTGTTTCAGCAGTGAAATATTCATAGTATGTGCAGGGAGTTTGACGAGGAGCACTTGACACTTCCATAGTCACCACCCTCATTTTCATTTCCTCTCTGGCGCTGGCACTTTACCTCAGAGCTCCGCTGGTCTTTCATTCAACACTGTATTATAGAGGCTCAGTACATGATGAAAACAAGCCCACAGCATGCTGCTTTCACATTTCATCGCTGAGTGAATGTGATGTTAAACAAAGAAAAATACTGCATATTAGTGAATATTTTAGCTGTAAATCTCAAATATGAATTTTTATTACTATTCTCTGAAGGTTTTCATGGTAAAACTGTTACTTGAGATGCTTTTTGCCATCCCTCTTGTGCTGCAATAATAGCAACTTGGGAACATTTTCAGTTTAAATTCTAAACGGATGATATATTCAACATCGGTTGTACCTGACTTCCAACATTTCCCTGTCTTACATCATCAGTCAAAAAACTCAGCCAAACACACCCAGTCGGATTACAGGTTTAATTACAGAAAATCACGATAAAATAGAAATAGAAATCATATTAACAAGACAGGATTGGTCTAGTGAAAAAAGTCTGACCTCTTTTTTAAGCTGCATTGCACCTTGCCCCTGAATTATGGATTTATTGATTTGGTGCGTCTCTGTAAAGAATTCAACATTTTCTACCTTTTTATTCTCTTGTATAGTGATAGTATCTTAACAGCATCTTATCTAAATATAGACATCTATCCCAGAAATAAGGAAGTAACTCAACCAAAAAGGTTTCAATATAAATAACAATTTTTCCAGTTTAGATTTCTATAAAAATTCATGTGAGAAGGTTTAAGAACAACAAACCACAGGATCATAAGCTCTTTTTTTAAGGAATTATGTGCAAAAATCTCATGTCATCTTTCATTTCTTCATATTTTGCTAATAAAATGGGAACTACCTGATTTATTGAAACACCTGCTGACATGCATCATACTACACATATAAAGCAAAATATATAATATAGAAGTTTGTACTCATTGGAAATGGGGAAATAGGTTCAATTAATTAAAATATATGTGGCACAATAAATGATACAAAATGCAGTTCTAATGACCTTGTAATTTAATATTTGGTATGACCACACACACACAGGCCGAACCCTCTTAGACAGCATTCTTGTAATTTCTTTAAGTAATCTTCAGGAATAGTTCTGCTGTTGTGTTTTCTTGACAGACACCCATCCACCGAGAGCATTTCTGATGAGGTTTCAGAATCACAGTCATCTTTAAAATCAGAAGACTATGATTCTGAGTGAATAGAAGATGGATGAACTGAAGTCCCAGATGACTTTAGGTCCTGTGTCAGGTCTTTGCAACATTCTTTTCCCCTTTTTTAAAGAACATAACCTTCAGATTCTGTTCATCTACTGTAGATATTTTTTAGGCCCGGCAGTTCTTTTGTGCTTCACATATCTCCACATAGTACGCTGGGCTGTGATATGCCAAATTTTGGCTTAAAAGCTCTTTGGGATTCACCTTGTTGGTGCAAAAGTACTATTTTGTCACTGTCAAACTGTTATCATTTTTCATAGACTAAAGATATGGACATAAAATACGTGTTTTTTGACAGAGGCTGCTGGTAACAGAGAAGTACCTAGAGATACAGTTTTTATTTGGTTCTTTGCCAAGTTGTCTATTATGCATAGACACAACATTAGTTCATTCCTTGATTTAGGTGCTTTTTCTTGAATGATCTATAGGGCAGTGTTAAGTGGCTTAAACCAAAAACAGTGGTAAGGTACACAGAATGGACTAAAATGAGTAAAGAAGCAGTTATCAAAAAAAAAAAATTATAAGACTTTGTGGCTTTTTGGAAGCAAAATCTAAAGAAAGAGGGTTGACTCAGGAGATTTGCACATTACTGTATGTAAGTACTGTGTATAAGACATTCTGTAAAATAAAGTTTTACATTTGACAGTGTGTGCAACAGTTTCAGTTATTTCGTTTCGTGTAAAGGCTCATGAAATTACATTTAATCTACTGATTTTTGTTAAGAGACCTGACATTTCCTTTAGTGTGTAAATGCATACAGATATGTTTCATGTCATAAACTCAAACCTCTTGTTTTACTTTATGCCCACTGCACAAAGTGATGCGGGCTCTTGAGCTAAAACAACAGTGAGCAGCTGGTCGGTGGATTTTACCAACCTGCTGAGCATCGACAAAGACTGTCGAGCAGATAGTCAAGTTCATACATACACACTTGCTCAAACTTCTCATAATGTGCCTAGCAACTTTTCTCAGTCCTGCTACCATTCACAAACACACGCACTTCCTCTTACAAAGCTCTTCACAATAAAACGAACCATGTATAATGCAAATGCTCTTTTAAACGTATTAAACATATTGCACTCCTTTTAAAAGGAATTGAAAAAAGTTTTCTGAATACTTTAATCATGATTATTTTACCATTATTATTACAAATTATAAGTTGATTAATAAAAATAAATAAACCAGTTAAAGAACAACAGGAAGATGTGAAATAACAGATAAAAAACAAAAACCCACATGTTCTGAATAAATCAATAGCCTAACACATAATAGATATTGTTTTTTTTATACAAAATCAGTATTCATATGCATCATGTTGAAAACAACAATGTTGATATTTGTAAATAAAAAATATTACATTTATTAATCATGTAAATTTCCTGCACCTGTCATAGACGTCCACATGATGCCCAAACAAATTACCCAGTCCAAAGTTCAAATGTTGAACATCTTGATGTCGAGGTTCTGTCATGGTTACATGTCCAAATTGCGAAGTTCGGATGTCGTCTAGATGTCCAGAATTGGTCATGGACCAACGGACACAATATAGACACGTTTATCCAACGTCCATTGTTTAGCAGGTAGGAACCTGAGCCTATCTTGGTTTAGATTAAAATAAAAAAAATTAAAAAAACAATCAGAATATTGCAGTCTTGGGAGATAGAGTATCTTACTCTTAGCTGGCACAAGAGGTGTGCTATTTAAGCTGCTTTAGTCTGCTTACAGCTGCTGTGCTTCTGCAACTCACTTTGCAACCCACTGCAAGATCTTTAGTTCAGCTTTGCTTTTTACTTTGTATCTGTTGTAATCATTGTCACATCTGTTGTCACTGATG